TACCTGTTCTGTTAGCGTCAGGAGACACGGCCCACATGCCATCAAACAGAAGTTGCTCATTAGACAGCAGTGTGTGGCTCTGTTGATGTGTCATTAGTGTGCACTTAGCTGGTGTGTGTTTGTTTCCTGCAAGCTGTTTAGCCAGTGCGTGCTCACGGTATCTGACACGGCCCTAAGCCATTGAATAAACAAGTTCCAGCCCTGTGCTGCTACGTGGAGGATCTGTCTTATTGCAGGAAGTATGTCTCTTGGACTAACCACCACTGGGCGGGCCCACTTTCACTCAGGCCCGCCTTTCTCAGGCAGAAGGCCAGAGCTCTGTGTCTACCCAAACCCTGCTAGAGTTCAGGCACAGACTTCAGACACAGTTGTGACTCTCTACACAGCTGTGTCCTGTACGGACCCTATGGCCAGCCATGCAACTTTCCTGGAGACAGTCCTGGCCACTACTTGGGATCCCCATCCCCAAGAGGCACTATTTCCTCTTCCCATTTCCCAGAAGAGGAAACTGAGGTACAAAGGAGAGTAGAATAGCTGGTCTACGAATGTAAACAGACTAAGAGGGAAGCCATAGTAGTCTTCTTAATCTTCCCACTCTGGCTATCTTCCCTAGAGCCTCCTGAGTTTCCTCCTACCGCTAATCCTTCCACCCCAAAGCCCAGGCTTCCTTTACTGGCCCAAGTCTGGGGTGAGCAAGGAGCCTAGGCTTAGACAATCAGTCTACCTGAAATACCATGCAGTTTGGGGTTCTTAACTAGAGGAGTGTCCTGTGATTTGGGGTTAGGTTTTGCTGGCGACCTTGGGGGAGCCGAGGGAGGTGGCGCAGCTTGGCAGGTGACATGTTCGAGGCATCTTTTGACATCACCTCCAGGCCTGTCTCACTCCTCAACCCTCCTTACTGCAGCACCCCCACCCCCGCCCCTTGCCACCATGTTCTTCCCCCAGGCAATCCATCATCTTTCAGACAAGGAAACCACGGGGCTCTCACGGTTGTAATAGCACCACAATCTCTCTCACAGTTACCAGGTAACTATAGCAGGATGCCTAACACTCCTTGGCTGCTCAAGGCTGTCACTCATTCCAGGTCTGAAACCTCTCTTTTGGGCCCCAGCATTGCCAACTTTCCTGGAATGTCCTGGCAATGCAGGTCCTGGTGCAACAGATTGCCAGAACCTATGTAGGAGAAGAAAAGGACCCCGGGGCAAGTCAGCATGGAGGGCCTCATTCACCGGGTCCCTGGTCTTCTCCCTTTCAGTCCACGCCCTCCAGAATTGGCACAGGCGCCAGCCACCAGCCTGAGGCAAAGATCACTAGGTAGATCAAACATTAACTTTCCACCTGGCTCTAATTCTGTGCTACTGGGACTGAGGGCTCAGGGACCCTCGAGCGTCCATGGCTGTGAACCCCCACCTCCCGCCACAGTTCTCCTCCGTGCACCTCCCCCGCTGGGCCAGCCCAGGCCCCATCTTTTCCTTCCCCCGCCCGGCACCTGTTCACCTCTGCCCGCCAAGGCCCCATCCAACGGCCAAGGAAAAAGTTGCAAACAGAACGAACTCCTGGCACGCCAGCTACAGCCCTGCGCTTGGGTCTCTGTAGGTCCACTCCCTGGGGTGTCTAAACGCGGCTCGGCGCCCCCTTCTCAGTCCGAGGTTCTCCGATCTTTTTCGAAGTCACCCAAAATATGTCCCTCCAGTTCTCTCTGCGCCTGCAGCTCTCCGGGCCTTGTGCACACCCTGAGCCCCGGGACTCCTAAATGTCCTCCCCCGGGTTTGTGTCTCTCCTTGCGCTTTCTCTGCTCGGCGCAGGCTGCCCAGGAGCGCACCCTACCCATCCACACTGACTTGCAGCAGCCGCGAGCCTTGGGGGACCCTGTACGATGCCCTCCAGACCTGGACACGCACACGCCCACCCTAAGTGACCAGCAAGTAGCTAGGGGACTCCCCTGCCTGGCAGTCCCGTGTCCTGCGCGCTCCCTTCGGGCACAGGGCCGGCACGCCCACCAAGCCCGTGGCTGGCCCAGTCGCGCCTCCGTGGCCCGGGGGCTGCGTTGCAAACTCTGCAGCCTCACCGTCTTCTTCCGGGCCACCATCTTCTCCAGCTTTTTGGCGATTCTCAGCAGCTCCTCTTCCAGGCCCATGTTGGTCCACGACGTCCGGCGGAGTTAGGGGCGCAGGGCAGCAGCGGGCGCCAAAGCGCGAGCGGCACGGGCCGCAAACACACCGGACACTCGAGCCTGGAGGGGGCGGGGCGCGCCCCTCCCAGCGCTGGGGGAGGGGTGGCAGGCACTAAATATAGACTTCAAGGACTGCCCGGGCAAAGATTGTCTGAGCCTGGCGGGTCGTGCCTCGGGGGACGGGGGGTGGGGGGGAGGACCAGTCTGGGAGAAGGGGCTCTTCTCTTTCTACTCTCCGAGGGGTGCCCCAGACTACAGGGAGATTTGAGCATGAGAGTTCTCCGAGGGGTGTCAGCGCCTCTGTGGGAAGTTCAGAGCTGCTGGGTCTCAGCATCACTTTGCTCCCAGACGGAGGATTTAGCTTCGTTGGCTATGCCCAAGCCGGAAAAGTTGGTGAATTCATCATATCTTAGTCCAGATTTGGTCAGCTGTGCCCTAACTTAGGTAGGCTCCTTGGTGCGCCCAAGGCCTGTGGTGTGCATGCACTAGGGAGGTATGCTCAGAGCCGTTTGCCCGCCAGTCTTTTTTTTTTCTGACAAGCTCTCAAAGGTACCAATCTGGGTACCGCGCTCTGAAAGACTAAACTTTGGGTGATTCTTAGGGCGGTGCATAGGAGGTGGGGTTGGAAGAGTAACTTTGGGAGGAGGGAGTAACTGTGCCTCCCACTCGGCTATGCATACAACTGCTCTCGGGTGAAAAATCTTCCAAGAATTCTCTGCAGACCTAGTTCCCCTCCTGACAGGAAATGATCTTTCTGCGAGGGTCTCTGATCTGCGGGGGGGGGGGGCAGAAGAGGGCGCACGGTGTGAGAGGGTTGAGGAACTGTGAAATCTCCCAGCTTTCTGTGATAGCCTCAGAAAACCCAGTCTGGAGCCTGTTATGGACACCTGTCTCCCAACTGCTGCCGTGTGATGACGGTCAAGGATTCTTTTTTTCTTTTTTTTTTATTCGACAAACAGTATCTAATCAACTAGCATAAAGATCTCACGGGCAGCAGGCTGGGCAAAATAACCATTAAAGAGGACTGTATTCATCACAGCTGGGGTGGGGAGAGGAGGGAGAGAGGGCAAGTGTAAGGCCCAGCTGGGGGCTCACCCCCCTCCCAAGAAATGAAATTTATTGCCGCAAGAGGAAGTTTGGAGGTGGGGGGAAGAGGTCTGTGTAATCGACAAGGCAGCAAGCGGTTATTCTATTTACTGAGCAACTACTGTGTTCTAGGTATTCCTAACATCCAGAAGGGAGGAGATTGCTCTCCTGGAGCACTCCCTGCACAAAGCTTGGAAACAGGAGGGTCCCTGACATGTCAGCGGGGGAGGAACTGAAAAGTCTGTGGCTAGGGATGTGGAAGGGATGGGCAGGGCCTTAGCACTGTGTTGTCAAGGCCAAGTTTTTCTTCAGTGGAGCTTCTGGGAGGCCCTCTTGGCCAAAAGAAGCTTGAAGGACCCTAAGAAAACGTATCCGACCTTATTATGCAAATAGGAGACTGAATCTCAGGACGTGGGACGCTGTCTTTGGAGCACTCCAATACTCCTGGAATGTAGCCAGCACTGCTGGTATCCTTTATATCTCCTCTGCTCACCTGTCCAAGGGAGAGGTCCCCTGCACACAATGACACACAGTTGTCATATCTTCCTGTGAGCTTTGGGGACAGACAGGGAACTGATACCCCAAGAAGGGCAGGCCTCCTATTCTTTACTCTCAAAGGGACAGCTCAAAGGTATTTGCTAACTCACTATGCTCCTGCCTCAGCCCCCCAGTGCTGGAATTACAGATGTGTGTCGCTGTGCCAGCATCCTTTATGCTTTTGTGTGTGTGAGAGTGCACACGGCAGCCAGAGGCTGGTGGTGTTCTCAATTGCTAGCCTCCTTATTTTTTTGAGATAGGGTCTCTCACTGGACCTGGAGCTGCTCGGCCAGCCTCTGGGCTCCTCCAGTCTCTGCTTCCACAGAGCCAGGAGTGTGGAGAACACTGCATGCCTAGCTTTTTGCATGAGCCCTGCAGAACTCACATCCTCAAGCTTGTTGGGCAAGCACTTTCCCGACAGCCTTCTTCCATGTCCTTCACTGCTGACTGACCCGTTTCCTTTCTCCCCTTGTTATGCATCCAGGGCTCACCTCACAAACTCCTTACCCAACCCATCTTCTTAGGGCAATCAAGAGGAGGGTGTGGTCAGGACCCTGGGAGAGTCAAGCATCAGGTGCTCAGGTCCTAGTCCAGTATGCTTTCCTGCACACCAGGGGTTCTGAGCCTTGCTGCTGACATTTCGGATTGGCTAACCCATTGCTGTGGAGATGACCCTTGGCATGTGGGTATGTTTTCAGTGTGTTTTCTTCTGTTCCTGGTGTGGCAATGTGAAGGGGTGACTGAGCCTTTAAGGAGCAGAACCTGGCAGAAGGCAATCGTGTGAGGGGCTCTGCCTTTAGGGTGTGAGTTCTGACAAATGAGGTGCTAGCCATAAAGCAAACTGAGATCACTGCACATAAGTGCTTCCTTTCTCCTTCTCTGTGATGTTGTGACAGTCAAGGCCCTTTTACAGAGCATTCACAACATGCTGTCTGGACTTTCCAATCACAAGAACCCTAAGCCAAATACAACTCTTTACTGTAGAAAGCACCCAGCCTCCATCGTTCCGTTACCACACAAAACAGACTGAGATGCTGTAGTGGAGGATACTCAGCACCCCCCGGACCTCAGGGATGCCCCTCCAGCAGCAACACTTTGCCTTACCAAATGTCTCCTGGGGCAAAACTCCCTGTTGTGCTCTGACCCCTATTCTTTACCAACATGGCCATCACCAGGGCCAGGTAAAGAATCCTAAGTCCCAAGAGTCTCCCAGGGGGATTCGTCCCTCCCCCCCAAGAATCCTTTATTAGAGATAAGTAAAACAGTAAGTCTGAGATGAACACAAGCTGACCTGGGGCTCAGAAACAATCCTGCTGCTTTAGGACCTAGGAACACAGCAGCATCCAGGGCAAGCAGTTCAACTCCCAGCAGCACTGCTGGCTATTCACTGGGTGCCCTCTGGCCTCCCCTGTGCAGCTTGGCCCACCCCTGCAGGACCCCCCACCAAGCAGGTGTCAAGCAGAGCTGTCCGTGGTTGCCGAAGGTCTGGCTTTGTAATTGGGGCCGAGCAATGGTGTGATTCCTGGCCCTAGAAAGCAGACTCCTGGAGTTTCTCTTATCTTCCCAATGCCTTTCTCCTTTCCTGGTCCCTCACTTCCCCCAGGCTTCTGATTTCATCAAGAAGAAAGTGAGAGATATGGGATCAGTCAACCCCGACCATCCCTTTCCTTTCTGTTGATCAAGGCAGGTGAGTCACAGTCTACTTCCAGGCTGGGAACACAGACCCCAGGGAGGGGAAGACTACCCTCTAACAGAGCCATTCAGAGTACTTCAGCCTGGGCATCACAGGCCTTGGCCACCTGCGAACTGGGCTGTAACAACTGCAATGACGAGACAGAGCAGCTGATGTCAGTCTGGGCCCTGAGCTCAGCGCCATCCCTCTGCCATCTGGGTCTGCTCGTCCCAAGTCAGTCCTTGAGCCCAGCTTCCCAGTGAGGAAGCACACCTGCAGGATCTGTATCTTATTCATATGGCATCTGTAGTACCTAGGAAAGGTCTGGACATAAAGCTAGACTTCAGAAAGAAAATCACCAGATTGATAAATGGCCATGAGACAGTGTCTGCATGTGAATGATGGCGAACGGGTCCCGCCCTTGTAGAGAGAAACACAATCCTGGTACAGTAGGTTGTGTCACTTAACCCGATCCAGACATTGTCAGATCTAACTCCTGGGCTGTCTGGCCCAGGACATCAGTCCCGACACAGAAGGGCCAGTGTCCTTGGCAGGGTCATGGTTCCCATAAGGAAGACGAGCTCCCAGATCTGTGGTCTCAAGTCCCAGCTCTGAATGTTGGGGTCCAGTGTGAGCCATGCAGAGGGGTCAGCAAGGAGCTAGTCATGCAAGAGTTGCAGGGTATTTGCCGGGAGGACCCCAATCTTTGAGCCATCTCCTTCTATGAGGCCAACCTGGGAAAGGAAGGATGAAGCTGATGGTTAAGGCTCCTTTTGTGGCTTCTCTGGGAAACAGCTACAGTCAGGCTCAGCTTCACACAGTCCTGGGCTAAGCAGGAAGCTGGCACCAAGCTTAACAGTGGCCACCTCAGCCCATAGTGTTGTCACCACGGAAAGGGGTCTCCTTCCCCTTTCTGCCTGCTCTTGACAACTCTACAGCCCAGGCACCCAGACTTCAAAGCATACACAAGTGCTCCTACCGGAATGTTCCTCCTACACAGAGGCTGCCGGGCAGAGGGACCATCTTCCAGACTCCGGCCTCCCCGTCTGTAGGATCGAGTGCTCTCTGAGCTGGAAGACAAAGATGACCAATTGTCACCCTGCGGCCAGAAGCCCCTCAGAGGGACCCAGGTCGACAAACAAGGCTGGGGATAGTGGTGAAGAGGAGTCAGAATCCACCAGGCCCCTAGGCTGGGTCCTCACAGGCCCTGGTGGTCTGGAACTGACCTCTCCCCAGAGGACTATGGGGATGTTCTCAAGTTCAATTCTCCTCAAACTCAAGTCTAGACAACAAGGGTTTGCAGAGAAGAGAGGCAGTTGGATCTTGGATTACAGTTGGGGACAAGTGGAGATTTCACAGAGCCCTTAAGAAGGATCCATGCAGGGGGAACTAAGCCCTTTCTCCTCCCACTAACCTCAGCAGCCCAAGCCCCAGGCTTCCCCTTGGCTTTCCCAGCCAGCCTTGAAACCAGGTAGATGGTAGAGGAAAAGGTAAGCCATCCTCCACTCAGCTCCAGCCTACAGCTTGGCTCCTAGAGTGAGACTATGACCCAGGCTTCAGACAGGTTCAAGTGGGGAAGCCAACGAATGCGTGGAGGGTCAGGGGACACGCTGGATGGCACAGCCAAGCCCTTACCAACCTGAACTTGACAGGGAAATACACCTCAGCAGGGGTGGTTCCAGATGCCAGGCCAGGTCGGGAAGTGCTGGGTGGCTCCTGGAGGCCTTCTTCAGGGCTAGACGGGGCCTGGCTCAACCCTCCAGGTTCCACAGAGCTGGTGAGGCTGGAGGAGGAAGATGCTGGGCTGCTCCGGTTCTCAGGGGCCTCAGGAGACTCTGATCTCAGGCTAGGAATGTCAGAACGATCTAGAACCACAAGTGACAATGTTTTCTTTTAGTTGTGCCCCTTCCTCCCTGTAGTACAAAGGTAGAGTTGCTGGGCTGGTGGTAGACGGCTCAGGAGTTAACAGCACTAGTTGCTCTTCCAGAAGTCCTGAGTTCAATTCCCAGCAATCACATGGTAGTTCATGACCATCTGTAAAGGGATCTGATGCCCTCTTCTGGCGTGCAGGTGTACATGCAGACAGAACACTCACATTAAAAAAAGAAAAAAGTACATAAATAACTTTTTTAAAAAGAAAGGAAAAAAGGAAGGAAGGGAGGGAGGGAGGGAAGGAGGGAGAGAGGGAAGGAGGAAGAAGAAACACTTTCCTCTTCGCTCACTGTCAAAGCTGACTTTGGTCTCTAGGGTCCATCTTTGTCCTTCCCCAACGTCCCCAGTACTGTCGCTCAGTGATCGCCCACATCAGCCATGATGGCTCATGCTGTTTCTATTCAGCCTTTCCCCTTGGCCTGGGCCTTCCTGCCCATCCCTCAAGCTCCACTTTGGCACCAGCTCCTTCAGGGAGCCCTCCTAACCCACTGCCAGCTCCAACCCCAAAACAAGCTCCACCCATCCAACACGGAGTCCAAGAGCACAGCCAGGCTCTGCTCAGAGCTGGAGAGAGAGCAGTCTGCGGAGGTCCAAACCTGGACCCGCTGGGATGGACTAGCAGTCTCCAGTGTGCAGAGCCTCGCGTTATGACTGACTGCTTCCTGGCGGTTATCTCCTCACTAGACTGATGCAGGGCATGCTCTACACATGCTTGTCTTTTTGTTGAAGTGCGGCACTGAAGGATCTGAGCAAGACCAACCTGGGTTGTGATCTCACAACAGAAGCTTAAACTCACTCGAGATCTCCATTTCCTGAAGGAGAGGGTGGCAACCCTAAGAGAACTTTGATGGCAGGATGGGCTTGCCACCCTTCACTCTGCTGTTTTCAGGGTCTCAAGGAGCCCAAGCTCCTTGAAGTCCTGACCCTCCAACCTCCACCTGCTGAGAGCTGAGATAGCAGGTACCAGCCACCACCCTCAGCTCTGTCATGTACACACGGCTCAGTGCCTCACACAGCAGTCTCTCAGTAAATGGCTGGATCACAGTACTTTGGGGCAGCCAACTATACCTCCACTGGAATGTCCGGCTTGCCCGAGGAGTATGGTCCGAGAAGAGTTTTTGATGGGCAGGGGCGGGGGACTATCCTCGCTTTGGCTCTGAGAGGTGGCTGCTCCTGGGTTGGCAACAGTCTCATAGGTCTTGTTGCTGATGTCCAGCCTCCCACTGCCACAGCAGGCCTGTGCTGGGGGCTTCACAGGGCAGTGCTGAGGAGACAAGGCCATCTTGGTTTCACAGCTCAGCTTTCCTCTTCCCACAGCAGGCCCAATATGGCTCTTGTCTGGTGCAATCGATAGGGGAAAGAGCTAATCCTACCTTTTCTTCCTCCTCCTCCTCCTCACTGTCAAAACCGTGCTCCATGGAATGTCCCCAGTGGTAGTCCATATGGAGAGGGAAAGCGAGCGTCCCTGCTTGTGCCTGCTCCAGCTGCCAAAAACAAAGGCTGGCCACGTCAGAGGGCCGACAGGCTGAGGAAGGGTTAGAGGCCAGCCTCTACGCTCAGACTCACCAGCTCCTCACATTCCTTGTGCTGTCTGATCCTGGCTATGTCCAGGGCTGTCTCTCCAGCATCATTTACTGTGAAAGGAAATCCAGGGACCATGGTCAGAATCAAGGGGACATTGCAGCTTAGAGTTTAGTAGGGGCCCCGGGATCAGAGTGTCTGAGTATGAAAACTGGTTCTACTTCCTGTGAAGTCATAGGTGATCTACTTAGTCCCGCTGGGTCTTAACTGTCTATCTATTAAATGAACGTGATACGTGAGACTATCTGTTCAGGCTGTGTAAGCAGGTAACAGTCACATCACTAGAACCCAGATTCAGCTAGGATTTGCTTTGCTCAGTCTACACACCTTTGGGCAGGCTCACCAGTTCTGTGAAACTCTCATTTTATACATGGCAGAGCTAAGACTCTAGAATGACAACCCCCACCCCTGAGGAAGGCAGAAGCCAGCAGGGAGGGTATCCCTGCAAAGGGTGTGCTTGCTATCGATGCTCTGGTCTGTGAAGGCAGAAGGCCCCATACGCAGTGGTCAGAAAGGAGTCTGCGGGAGGCCTAGAGCCGCACCTGCCCCCACGGGAGCTCTCCCTTTCAGCAGCAGCTTGAGACAGTCCAGCTGGCCGTGGAGCGCAGCGCAGTGCAGGGCGGTGTTTCCATCTGAAGCCTTGGCATCCAAGTGGCCACTAGGAAGAGGGGGTTGCAGGGAGGTTCCGGGAGAGAAACAGGCAGGCAGAGGGGGGCGGGGCAAAGTCCCAGGGAAAGAGGGGGGAGGTGTACAAGGAGGGAGTTGGGAGCAGCAAGGCTGCTGATGGCAGACAGGCTCTCACCCATTCTGGATGAGGAAGTCCACTATCGGCAGAGAAGCCTGGCTGGCAACTCTGATGGCCAAGTGCAGGGCGAGCTCTCCAGGTGCCTGGACACACACACACACACACACACATGGCTGAGTTTCCCCTGTCACCTGTCCTCTTGAACCCTTGTTGCCCCAATATCTCTGAATATGATGTCATCAGAAACCCCAAGGGATGAGATGTCTGGACAGACCCTCACATTAGGGAAGCCTGGGAAGGTCCAGGCTGTCCTTTATGGCTTCCTTCAGTAGTTCTCAAATCTTAATCTGCCCGGGGTTCCCCTTTTCTCCCACTTCCTCACTGAGGTCTCTCTGGCCTCCTGTTCTCCAGCATACTGTGCTGCCTACCTTACCCAAGCGCTCACTCAAGTGCTGTGCCCCCACTGCCCACTGGGTGGCCCGTGAAGGTTTCAGTTGTACAATTCAGAAACATCTCTCCTGCAGTGCAGGGGACAATGCAGGGCCTCACAGGCAAGCTCACAGTCCTTCATCACCGAGCTACACCCCCAGCCAGTGACATCCAGTTGTTTTGTTTTTAAAAGATTGCCTTCTTTTTTTCCCCCAATTTTACATGCATGGTTTTGTCTGTATGTCTGTGTGCCACATGCATACAGTGCTCACAGAGGCCAGAGAAGACATTGGGTCCCCTGGAACTGGAGTTACTGACAATTGTAAGCCTCCATATGAAGACTGGGAACTGAATGTCAGTCCTCTGGAAGAGCAGCCAGTGCTTTTAACCACTGAAGCCTCTCTCCAGTCTCATACACCCAGTTTTAAATGTCCACTCAGTCCCAGGAATCCTGCTGATGAAATCTTTCCTCCCTCATGAACTTATCACCAAAATGCAGTGGCTTTCATTACTCTGATCAGACCTGGTCTTCCTTACTCCCAAGGCTAATGCTAACCCATTTTATAAACGAGGAAATAGGACTCCTCAGAGGCCCTGGGAGGGGCTCTCACCTGTCCATCAGGCCCTGGCAGCAGCTGTCCGAAGTCCTGCCCATTGGCAAAGGCCTCCAGAACTGACAGGAGGTCCCGGCTGCAGATGGCTGTCCGTAGCTTCTGGGGCTCAGGTGTGGAACGGCGTGCAAACTTGTGTTCTACATACTTGGCTACAATGTAGTTTCTGCGGCTGCTCCTACCAAGGTAATAGACAATCATGGGACCCCAGAAATTTTTCAGCATAGTAACTTCTGGAACCACCCTCCAGGTGAGTCTGGTGTGCTGAAAACTTCCGGGTCAGAGGGTTCCCTTCTTCCCAGCCTTCTGACCCCAGATCCTTCTCAGACCCTGGAACCTGGGGAGCTAGCAAGCCCCGCCTTCTAAAACCATTCTTACATGTCACTCTCAGGAGAGGGTTTAGGGCAGCCATGGGAGGGCAGGTGGGCTTCCATGACTTCATTGAAGTGGGAGTTTCCGATGTTCAAAGCCAGCTGGAGGCACAGTACAGCAGGAGCGGAAGTTGGCGGGTAAAATCACGTGTTAGGACATAGTTCCTGGCAAGGTTCACCCTTCAAAGTCCCTCCCTACAGTTCCCTAAGCCCCGCCTCCACGCTCCTGACCCGGCTCTCACCAGCAGCTCCGAGGGGCCCAAGAGGTCCAAGGTGAGCGACTGTATGCGGGAGAAGCGCACGCCCAGCTCCCGGTGGACACCCGAGCACTGGATGCAGGTGAGCACGCCCAGGTTGGTGCTGAGCCATGTGGGATCTGCAGAGGAGCGCGGTTGGAGCCTACATCCCAGGGCCCCTTCTCCAGGCCTCCCACCAAAGCTCCCCTACCGCTGACCTGGTGCCCCACAGTCGCAGCAATGGCCATTCCCTGGTCTGCTCTTCACCTCAGCGACGAGCATGTTGGTTAGGTCGTGGGGCTCTGTCTCCAATCTGGTGCCCCACGACCACTGGCCGCCCCTGGGCTCCCCGTGAAAGGCGCTACTCAGTGCTTCGTCCTTGCTGTTCTGTAGCACAGACACCCATCTGTGCAGATGGGATGGCAGGTTGGGGACAGGAGACTGGGTGTGGACCAGGAGTTCCCCGCCCCCCGTGCACTGCCTCCCCGCCCCCACCGCTGGCCCAGAGCAGGTACTCACGCCTCACACTCTTGCTCGTCCTCTGCATGGAAGTGGTATGTACGATTGTCTGTGGAGGAGAGAAAAGGGCATCAAGCCCACAGATATAGCAGGCCTTCCCCAGGACAAACATCAGGTGCCCTGAGGTCAGGCCCTCCTAAGTGAGTGTTACCACCTCCATACGTCATCTTGTCAACGTAGGACCCCGACAAGGCTCTCTGTATGATCCAGGCTCAGTGCACAGCACACCTCCCAGCTCAAGCACAGCGTGGCCCTCACCTCCAGCCCCACCACACTCTAGTCTCCTTGGCTCCTTCCTCTCTCCCTTCTCCTAGCCCTACCAGCTCCCAAGCTGTTGTGTCTACGGATCTAACCATACTGCACCCTGCTTCCAGACACCCTAGGGTCCCTACTATCAGGGAACAAGGTCCAGACCTTAAAGAGGCAGTCCCAGGCCTTGCCTCTCACTGCTCCTGTGTGAAGTCCCTTGGAAGACTGCCGTGGGGAGTCTGTTCCGCTTCCATGCCTTTTGCCCTGCTATCCCCCTCCCAAAGCCCCCCTCCTCCTAAATGCTACAATCAGTATCTGCATCTGTCAAGGCTAAACACAAATGCTGTCCTCCAACAGCTCTGAATTCCCTATAGCAGCTCAGGATCTGTATGCACGCCTCCCTCCTCTGAAGGGCCACCCTGCAAGAGCCCTGGGTCCCTGGCTCACTCCTTCTACGAGGCTTCCCTGTCTGGAATGATGGCTCAGCGGTTAAGAACAGTGGCTGCTCTTCCAGAAGATGTAGATTCAATTCCCTAGCACCCACACGGCAGCTCACTGCTTTCTATAACCCCAGTTCTAGGGGATCCAACACACACATAGGCAGTCAAAATACCAATACACATAAAATAAAAGTAAATCATTAAGAGGGTTCCCGGAAGACAAGAGCCTTTTTTAAAAAACCGAGACAAGGTCTCTGGTGACCAGGCTGGCCTAAACTCCCCATGAAGCTGAGGATTACCTTGAACTTCTGATAGCCCTCCCAGGATTACAGAGGTCACTGTGCCTCCTTAGATGGTCCCCAGCACTGAACCCAGAGCCTTATGCAAGCTAGGCAGTGTTAACTCTTCTGGCCCAAGAGGCCAGCTCTTTCCTAGCCATCACTCACTTCCCTAAAGCTTGGCGTTAAAGCTCCCTACCCTCAGATCCACAAAAACAGTTAAACCTGTTTCAAGAGCCAGATAAGCCAGACCCGTTCAAATGTGCTCTACATGACTGCCACGCTTGATCTATACGGGAGGTAGATGTGTTTTCATGTTCAGTAGGATGAGAGGTGAAACTCTATAAAGTGCTAAGCCCTTGGAGCCCTGGGCCTGCAAGCTACATAGCAGGACTTCATATAGAGCCAGGGCTGTAGCCCCTCAGGAGAAGCAGTGTGGGGCTGGCGTGGACTACTCACGGGTCACCAGGTCGAAGCACCTTTTCTCCTCAGGGTTTGGCCTCACTTGGCACGTCAGCAAGGCCAGCTTCACTGGGGGCCTGTTGATCTGTGGAAGTTTGAGGGTAGAGGACCCCATGTTACTCTGGGCCTCGAGTCTTCTGTCTCCTTATCTATTGGGTAAGTATGAAAGACCCTTTCCTTTAATCCCAGCACTTGGGAGGCAGAGGCAGGTGAATTTCTGAGTTCGAGGCCAGCCTGGTCTACAGAGTGAGTTCCAGGACAGCCAGAACTACACAGAGAAACCCTGTCTCAAAAAAAAAAAAAGAAAAAAGAAAAACAAAAACAACAAAAAAAGAAAGACCCTTTCCTCCTGGGGAGGGGATGGGCATCCTAAGTTGAACCTTCGGATACCATCCTTCTCCTACCAGAGATGGCTAATACTCCGCTATCTAAGATTAGAGGCCTGTTCTAGAGGGAGGGCTTGGCATCTGTCTGCTCAGAACCCCGAAGAGATCTCACCATGCTGTGCGAGATGGTCAGGCAGCCATACTTCACTCCACACTTCCTCTTCTGCCAGACTCTTCGAATCCTAAAGCCCAGAAAGACAGAAAAACAGTGTCCAGTGGTTCACATCTAATCCCACTGCATCCGAGAACAAGAATGCAGGATACCTTCCCTCCCGTCCACCGTGCCTCGCCACTCCCTGCCCTCGAGAAGCTCCCAGGATGCTGGAACAAAGCCTCATGCTTTGGAATTCCTACTCTAAGGGTCCAGATGACTCTGGTACCCTAAGCGCTTCCAGCCTGATGGAAGAGACACAACCCACAACCTCACTGTGTGTGTGAGCCCAAGCATACAGATGGGGAGAGAGGGTGAACTGAGGGAGTCATATGAACATAACCCCATAGGCTCAGGCTTGAACACTTGGTCCACAGTTGGCACAACTGTTTGGGAAGGATTAGGAGGTGTGGCCTTGTTGGAGGAGATAGATGTATCACTGGGGGGTAAGCTTTGAGGTTTCAAAAGCCTGCACCATTCCTTGGTAGCTCTTTTTTTTTCTGCTCTGTGCTTGAGGGTGAGCTGTGAGCTGTCGTCTACCAAAGCCTGCTCGCCTACTGCCATGGTGTCTGCCATGATGGTCACAGACTCACCCTCTGGAACTGCAAACCCCCTCTAAACTCTTCCTTCCATAAGTTGCCTTGGTCATGGTGTGGCTTCCCAGCAATAGAAAAGTCACTAAGACAGTCAGTTTTCTATTTCTACCACATGGGTTCCAGAGATTGAACTCAGACTCAAGCACGTCAGCAAGCACCCTTACCCTCTAAGTGGTCTCACTGGGTCATTTTAAAAACAAAAAGTTAACACCAGGAAGCGAGGCAGAAATCGAGGTTTTCACATCTGGGGATACTCAGTATACTGTATAGAGGCCAAGGGTGAAGGTATATTTAGTGTTTGGTAAGTCTCAATTGCTGCTGACATTAAACTCACGGCAATCCCCTGCATCAGACTCCCAAATGCTGGCATTAAGGGCATGTGTCAGGAATGGCCTTGTTGCTGCAATTCTTGAAGAATAACCTCTAGTGACCTTTAGGAAAGAGTTACATGCCCAGTCGTCCTCTGATAACTGTATTCTAGCAGACTGTGCAAAATGGCCCATGGGACTGTAAGAAGAACCTTCATTCCTAGCTGTGTGTCTTTGGGCAAGTTGCCTAAGCTCTCTGTGTCACTCACCCATCACTTTTCTTGTACAGGAAGCCCACCTTCTCAGTCCCAAACTGCTTGTTGCCTTGGTGCTGGTGGATGCTGTAGCCGCCCCCTGAGTTCTTCCGGTTTGGGTGCTCCTGCCCCTCAGACATGCAAAGGAGACTTCAGGATGTCTGGGAGGGAAGAGCCCCGTGCTGCACTGCTCCTCAGGGGGACACGTGGGGGCTCTTCTCCTCCCTTGCCTCCCTCCATATGTCAGGGTGTGGTGGATGGGTCAGACCTCTCTTTTAGAATGATTCAGAGGCTGACCTCTCTGCTCTCCAGATGCAGCATCCCCCGGAGGGAGTCCCGGAGCTGGGTGAGCTTGTGCAGCTCCTCCTCCTGAGCTTGCCGAAGCTACGGGCAGAGGAGACGGTGCAGGGCAGAGCCTGACCCAGTGTGTGGGGCAGTGTCTCGCTCTGTGACAGAAGCCAGCTCTTCATACTCACAGCTCCCCAAAGGGATGGGGGAGGGGGAGTATTGACCCCACACTGAGGGACAGGCCAGACTTACCCCATGGACTGAGGCTGCCAGCTTGTCAATGAAGGGGGACAGGCTCTGAGCTGCCTTCCAGCCATCTTGGAAGAAGCTAAGAAAAAGTCAGAGGCCAAACAAGGGATCAGGGAGGGGAGGAAATGGGGATGCGGCAGAAGTTAGAGAAGGTTCCCACAGGGCACCCATGGCATGTAGCCTGAGGGTGAGGGCGGGCGTGCAGAGGTGAGACTCGCCAGGTTCGGCTCTCACTGGCTAGTTTCAAGAGCTTGGCAAGTGGGCCTCAGTTTTCCCATCTCTAAAACATGGATAAACGCTGCATCTGCTCACGGGTGCTAGGCCATTGGTGAGATCACCATACCCACCCTTAGTGCCTGAACCGTGCTGAGTGCTTTATAAAGTGGCATCTGTGTAAAACACTGTTGCCAACCAGGTCCAGACATACAGAGACCTGGAGAGTCGCAAATCCCAGGGGGGTGCTTTGTCTTGTTCCTCCAAAGTATTAAGGGTGGAGACAGCGGACTCACTTGTGCTGGGCGTGGAAGAACTTGATGAGGCTCTGCAGGAAGTCTGGGCCCTGCTTCACCTGACTCTCTCCAGCTTTGACAAGGTACTAGCAAGGGACAAGACAAAAGAATGTGTGACGTAAACTGGATCCTGGTTTTGTCCCCTGCCCCAGGGCTAAACCTCTTAGCCATGAATGAACCTTGGTTACATCCTACAGGCCAGCTGGCCAGCCCTAGGGCCTGCGACTGTTGCCTTGAGGGTTTGGAAGGAACAAACAGGAAACACACGCCACACATCCTCACTGGGGACTTACACCTCACCTCACACATGTGCAGCTGGAAGACTCGTCGCTCTCGCTGTGTGTCCTGGGACATCACTCCGTGGTGGCTTCCTCCTGGGAACCTGGCTCGATCCCTCTCCTTCTCCAGCTTGGCCCTAGGTCATAAGAGGAGACATTTGAAGACGCTTCGCCAGCCCTTCTGCGGCCCACCATCCTTACCATGGATCCGTATGTGCGGACAGAGCCCTCCCTGTGCCATCTATGTGCTAGCGCTGGCAACGACAGAGAGTGGGAAGGTCTGGGGAGTCCAGGGGGTCACAGAGGGGAAAGGTACAAATCACATCAAAACAGAGACAGGGGAGCAAAACAAAGAGTCCTGGCCTTGTCACAGCAGCTTAGCAAGCGATGCCTGTGCTGCCTGTGATTGGAAGCCAGAAGCATTAGCTTGGGGATAGCTAGGGCTGGGCAGGAGGGCTAGACCTTGGGATACCTTAGGTGGACAGCTCAGGGAGCTGTGCGGAGATGGACCGGGATGGGATATTGCTGAGGCTGGACCACAGGGGGCCTGGAGCCCACCAATTAAGCTTCTGGGCCTTTAAGGTAGAGCAAGGGTGTGAAGATTTCATGCCATAGGTATTAAGGGTCAGGTGGGACCGAGGGCAACTCATTCTGCTTAGCTAGAAGGGACTTAGAAAATGTGTGTGAGATAGATGACCACAGAGCCCTGGTTCTCAGGAGCCCACAGAGCTTCTCAGTCAAAGCTCGGAAAGCCTGTGGCACCCAGGCTGGGCTGCAGCTCTGGGGCAGAGGGTTAGCCTAGTACCCATGAATCTCTGTTTCAATCTCCACACCTCCCCTACTAAAGAATGAAAGAGCTAGGGCCTCCCCCCTGCACCCCAGCAGATCCCCAGGGGGAGGGTCTCTCCCCTGCACCCCAACAGATCCCCAGGGGTAGCTGCTTTTCCTCTTTGGGGCTGGTGGATCCACTTGTGGATTGTTTCCAGGAAGTCCACCTATGGTGGTCAAGAGTGTATTTGCCTCTTGGGAGGCAGAGGCAGTCGGATTTCTGAGTTCGAGGCCAGCCTGGTCTACAGAGTGAGTTCCAGGACAGCCAGGGCTACACAGAGAAACTCTGTCTTGGAAAAAAAAAAAAAGAGAGAGAGTGTATTTGCACATCTCAGACTGGGTGTGGGGATTCATGAGTCCCATGTACAGGAGACATTTGCTTAACAGTTCTGCCTCCCAGTGAATGTGAGCCCTGAGCAGGGCAGAGCACACAGATGGGGTGGGACTAATCCCTGCAGGCAATGAACTGCACAGCTCCTCCTCATTGAGCCTCACCCTTCAAATCTGTAAAATGGGAAAGCTTTCTGTACCCAGATGCTAGGCAAGTAAGAGACTGGGCAAGCAGAAGACAGAAACAAGAGAAGGGTGGAAGGATGAGACTCTGGGAGGTAAAGGCCGGCATCAGGATGCTGTGAGGAGGGACAGAGAACGCAAGGCATATCACACACCTGTTGTCCCCACCTCACTGAGCTGGGTGGAGTGCCCAGTCTCCTGCACACCTTGCCTACTGCTGTCCTCTCCATCCAACCAAACTGCCTGCACATTCTTCCCCTCTGTGCGGAGACTACCATGGTGCTGCCATTTTCTGTTCTGTTATTTATTGAGCCATTTCTCTTCTTGTTGTTCAAACCAGGAGGATACAATAAGGTAGGGACCCCGGTGCTGGGTTCATCTATCCATCCATCCACCAACCCGTCTGTCCGTCTGTCTATCTATCTATCTATCTATCTATCTATCTATCTATCTATCTATCTATCTATCATCTATGAATTGGGGGTGGCGGTAGCATCTTCTCCTGCCCAGGGAGTAAAACTGTAGAGTTCTCCACCAGGGAAGTTCTTCCTAAGCATTAACTGTGATTCTTCCTGCTTTACTCTTTCTCAGAGCCTGGGTCTTAAGTAGCCCAACCTGGCCTCGCTATGTATGAGATCGTCTTGACCTCCTGACCCTCCAGCAGCTTCCACCGCCCAAGCACTGAGATCATAGGTGTGCATCACACCAGGTCCTACACAGTGCCGGGGAGCAAGCCCAGGTCTTTGTGTGTGCCAGGCGATCACACTGCCAACTGAGCTACATCCTAAAGCTGACTATTATTTTTACACACTAAAGTGAGAAGCTCACGAGGCAGGACTCATTACTCCACTGCACAGATGAGAAGCCTAAGGCCTGTCCTAGCCACACAGTTCTGAAGTGGCCGAGGTGGGATCTGAACCCAGATCTATTTGATGCTAGCACCTATCTTAGCCTCCACCATCTGGGGACAGCCACACTGTCTTTGTTAGAATTTGTAGTCAGGGTGTTAAAGCTAAAACCCAGAAGAAATAAGTTGCTCAAGATCACAAGCCAGGGCTGGAGAGATGGCTCAGTTCTTAAGAGCATTGGCTGCTCTTCCAGAGGACCCAGGTTCAATTCTCCACCTCGACATGGACAGGCTCACAACCATGTCTGATTCTAGTTCCAGGGGATCCTGACGGTCTCCACAGGCACTGCTTGTACACAGTGCACACTCAACACAGGAACAAATACATATAAAATCAAAATAAATATTAAAAATGAAAAAAAAAACAAGCTGGTCAGAGGAAATGCTTGGGGCAGATAACACCCAACTCTGGGCTTCTGCCTCTCAGGACTTTTCTCAGGCCTGGCACAGAGGTGGGAAATGAATACTTGTTGAATTTTTCTGTTCTTTTTAAAGACTTATTTATTTATTGGTTTTTGGTTGTGTTTTTTTTGTTTGTTTGTTTGTTTTTGTTTTTGTTTTTTTTTTGGAGACAGGGTTTCTCTGTGTAGTCCTGGCTGTCCTGGAACTCACTCTGTAGACCAGGCTGGCCACAAACTCATATTTATTGTTTTTTTTGAAACAGGGATTCTCTGTGTAGTCCTGACTGTCCTGGAACTCACTCTGTAGACCAGGCTGACCTCCAATTCACAGATCTACCTGTCTCTGCCTCTTGAGTGCTGGGATCAAAGGCACTTGCTACTATGCCTTTGAAATCTTACAAAAACTTCTCTAGAAAAAAATTAGAGAAGGCAGACTTGCCTGGGAAGGTCTGTAGGGAAAGGTCGCTCCGTCCATTTTGGTAGACGTGTCAGTACAAGACGAAGGGAAAAGGAGAGTCACATGATTCCCTCAGCAACTCATCCAGATAAGGCTAGCCTGTCTCTCTGCTGCCCATTTTTGGATCTCTAAAATGAGCAGATGGCCACATAGCATCCCAGACAGGATAAGGCCCTGTGCTCTCAGCTAGAAGACGAGGAAGGCCCTGGACCTGGACAGGTGTGCATAGCTCTAGGAGACGGAAGGACGATAGATGCTGCAGCAGCTGCTCTTTGGAACCTGTCCCACAGAGGCCATTACGCAAGGGACAAATATTTAGTTCCCAGGATGCTTCCCCCATAACAGGAGATTAAGTAGATTGTAGAATGTGCATGTTGGCACACCCTGCCCCAGCTAACCACTGCTGTCTGAGAATATTATACTAATGCAGAAAGATGGGTCACAATTTTGGCTTCTGTTTTATTTTTTGAGACAGGGTCTCATAAATCCTAGACTAGCCTCAAACTCTGTGAGTAGGGTTCGGTAACCTTGAACTTCTCACCTTCCTGTCTTGTCTTCCTGAGTACTGGAATAACAGGTCTTTGCCACCACCACACCCAGTTATACTCCGCTGGGGATTGGACCCAGAGCTCTGAGTGCCATAGGCAAGCACTCTCTCTGCACACTGAGCTACACCCCCACTTTGTTTACTTGCTTTTGAGACAGGGTCTCATTATGGAGCCCTGGCTAACCTGAACTCACTATGTAGACCAGGCTGGCCTCAAACTCATAGAGATCCACCTGCTCTGCTCCCAGAGTGCTGGGATTAAAGGCATGAGCCACCAAGCCCAGCCCATTTTGAGGCAACGTCTCTCTATGTACCAGGCTAGCTTCAAACTTGCAATCCTCCTGCCTCACTTTCCCAAGTACGACCATTGTAGGTACACATAACTGTGTCTAGCTTCACATAATATTTCTTAATAAAAATAGCACACAACAATATGGTTATTTTGGTCTCAGTCTTGTTAACATATTTCATGGTGGAAAAATATTGTCTTCTTCATGGGGATTAAAGGCTTTTTTCTCCTATGCTTTGGTAGTTCCTCCCTACTTCACCTTGCTTTTCAGTTTTTATCTTTCTGAGATAGAGCCTCACATATCACAAGCTGGCTTCAAACTAGCCATGTTGCAGAGGCTAGCCCTGAAGTTGTTCTTCCTGCCCCCACGTCTTACACACTGCAGAAATTATAGGAGTGTATCGCCACCACACCTCAACCTTGTTTTGTTTTGTTTATGTGTGTGTGTGTGTGTGTGTTTTTAAGTGACTTCTGAGAATTGAACTTAGGTCCTCACGCTTGCAATGTGAACACGACGGAGACATCGCCTGGACCCCGCCTAACCTCTTTTTTTTTTTTTAAAAGTTATGAAATCATAGTGCTATGCATATTTGTAAAAGATAAAATAACATGTCTAACAGAGACAGTCCCCACAAAGTAACCCTAATATTCTCTTAAAGATGATTAAACTCCTGGAACCAAGTGACTCTTGCCTCAGCCTCCTGTGTATCTGGGACTATAGGTATGTAACACCATGCTGAGCAAACTCTCTCTCCCCGTCTCCTTTTTTTTTAACTTCACCATATTTTCTAGATTATATTTCTGCTTTAGCACAATGTAAGCAAAACTAATTTTTCTAAGGAATAATACAGATTCTGAAACTGGAACCTGAGGTAGCACAAGGAGTCTGCTTAGGGAGAGCTGGCCACTGGAGGCCAGACTTCTCTGTCCCTGGGACAGCATGAGGAAACCTGGGTACCTCCCCCCTCGTCTTCTATGTTTGCCACTATCATCTGCTGCCCAGCTGTATGGTCCTGAGCTAACTAACAACTCAGCCCCTTTGAGCTTCTGGACACTAACACTTCCTTCTCAGGGCTGAGTTATCTTGAGGATGCAGTATTCTCGTTCACATGGGCACCACAAGGCCAGAAGGTCACTGGGGGCAGCATCCCATGGTCCTTTCACTACAGCTCCCTTGGGTTGTCTTGCAGCGTGGCCTCCAGAACCCAGCTGGGCCTGACTATAGGCTCTGAAGAGCCAGACACCCTGAATGACACATCCCAAAGTCAGCCTCCTTCTTCAACGCAGACATGCTCTCCTGAAGTCTACCCTTCCAAGGTCACTTACACTTTGGTTTCGTAGTCTTTCCATGCCTTCTCCAGATGCTTTTTGGAATCCTGGAGTTGAGAAAAGAACGAGTTGGGGGCTGGAGAGATGGCTCAGTGGTTAAGAGCACTGACTGCACTTCCAGAGGTCCTGAGTTCAAATCCCAGCAACCACATGATGGCTCACAATCATCTGTAATGAGATCTGATGCCCTCTTCTGGTGTGTCTGAAGACAGCTACAGTGTATTCATATATAATAAATAAATAAATCTTTAAAAAAAGAAAAAAGAAAAGAACGAGTTGCCCAAAGGGAGGCACGGACCCTGGGATAACAGGACGCTCTGCTGCCTTTGGGAGAATCCCACTCTTGAGCTATGAGTGAGTGATATTGTCCAGAGCTGTTCTCCAGGGGACACTAACACACCTACCCAACTCCCTTCCCCAGGCTCAGCCCACCCGAGCTTCTCCCCAGAGTTGCCAAGAACCAGTCAAGTGTGGTGGGTTCTGGTCTGGACTGTAGCCAGCCTCTGGGCTCTGCTATGAGTCTTGTCATGGGCTGTGGAGGATGAAGGCAGGAAGCTGAAGGTCAAACACCACCCCGATTTTATCCTACCAATCTCTTCTGCCTGATTTGAGACCACCAGGAAATTGTATGAATTCAAAGAATAGTGGAGAAGTCTCCCAGAGGCCTTGCGGCAAACCAGTAAGATTCAGCTGACCCCTGATCTGGCTTGCCTGGGCTGGATGCCTGAGCCTTAGCTAGCCCAACTCTCCACACCCTTCTAGACAGCCTCAACTTCTGAGAAAAAAAAGTCACCGGTCTGGTCTGGGAGGTTCCCAGGATGGTGTCACTCAGATGAGGACAGTTCCTCCCCATGCTTTGTGGGGCAGAGTGCCAGGGAGGTGACTTTGCCACCTCCTTTCACAGGACCTCTCTGCATGGACCCAGGGCTGCTGGGTGCAGAAGAGCAGCAGCAGAACACTGAGGATCCTGGCCTGCACCCTGGACCTTCATGTACCAGCATTGTGAATCATGTACGGCTTTAGCCTACTGGTACAGGAGAGGATTCAGAACCACTGACTGTACACATGGCCTAGATGCCAGGCCCTCCAGCTGACCCAAAGGCAGTATCTCTCTGTAGTGACAGCCCCTCACTTGGCCTTTCCCCCCACCCAGCCCTGCATCCCCTGCACCCTCAGCAGGCCCTCTCCCACATGCACACTCACATGTCGCCCATCCCTTAGATGCCCCTTCATCAGACTGTCCAGTGGGAAGGAGACGATGTTGTTCAGGTTCTGAACCTACAAAAAGCAGAGGCCCCGCCCCAAGGGGATCAGGGTCCAGGGAAGTACCAGGAGGCAAAGGCGAGCCACAGGACTCTAAGAGGCAGGGAGAGGGAGAGACGAAGGGGCAGAGGGGGGCTGGGAGTAATGAACACAGTGCCCGCCCTGGACTGCTCCAGCCCTGCGTGGGGCTCTTCCTGCCCTGCTGCAGGACCCCTTTTGCTCCTGGGTGAAGCAGAGGAGGGCAGAAGGAAGGGAGGCTAGAAACAACACTGGGAAAGGGGGTGGGGTGGGAACACAACAGACTGATTCCAGCACTCAGAAGGCTGAGGCAGGAGTGTGACCAGTCTCAAAACAAGTGGTAAAGATGGGTCAGAACTGTACAGAAGTTTCAGGTCAGGGGTCAGAGATCAAGGGGCACAGCCGATTCTTCCTGGTCAGTTCTTAAGATGCTGGATTTGGGCTAGAGAGATGGCTCTGTGGTTAAGGACTCTGGGTATTCCCAGCACTCACATGGTAGATAAACATCACGTGTAATTCCAGTTCCAGGGGATCCAACACCCCCTTCTGGCCTCCGAGGGCACCAGGTAGACACACTCACAGTGCATATCCGTGCATACAAACACATACATGGAATAAAAATAAATATATCCTAAAAGATAACCAAGAGCTTGGATTTGCTATGAATCTGGAGGGAGCCTCACCAGGTTCTTGAAGAGAGCAGCCACCTCGCGGGTGAATACGGCCAAGTTCAGGAAGCCAGTGGACAGCTCATGGCTGTTCTGGGATAGGTGACTATTCCCCAAGGCCTCCACGGCCTCTCGGTAATGTTCCTCAGTCTCCACATGGCCTGCAGACAGGAAAGGCTCTCAGCGTTTGCTGCAGGCCTGGCTGGGCCCCAGGCCCCGGACCCCAGGCAGGCTCACTCACCAAGGCCAGAGCTGTGGATAGCTCGAACAGCCTTCTTGATTCTCTGTAAGATAGCCTGGTCTCCTTCCAGGACCTAGGGGCAAAGTGTCCAAGGTTCAGAGGGGCTATGCAAGAAGGCCTTGACTTCAGGATTTGACCCTACACACACACACACACACACACACACACACACACACACACAGAGAGAGAGAGAGAGAGAGAGAGAGAGGGAGAGAGAGAGAGAGAGAGAATGAGAGAGAGAGAGAGAGAGAGAGAGGGAGAGAGAGAGAGAGAGAGAGAGAGAGCGCACACAGAGTTTTGCTGTCTTCTGAGCTTGCTGGATTCTCCCTGCCAAATATAAGCTGACCACCATCTTCTGCCTGACCACACAGAAGCCACAAAATAACGAAGCTACTCCAGAAAGACCACAGACTTTCTACCAACCCAGTGCCAGCCAGAGCTACATAAACCTCGAGATTCAGAGATGTATGACACAGGGGGGTCACCACGCTAGAGTTGGAACTTCAGCTCAACCTAACCAAGGCTTCTTAACTGATGGCTCACAGAACTGAATGTGTGAGTGGCAAGTGATTTAGCAATTATAAAATGTTTCTGAAGATGTGATGACCCAAAATTAACTCAAAATCAAGCACATCATGAATCTGAGGTATTTCTTTCCTAAGATTTATGCATTTATTTTATATATGTGAGTACACTGTCGCTGTCTTCAGACACACCAGAAGAGGGCATCAGATCCCATTACAGATGGTTGTGAGCCACCAGGATCTCTGGAAGAGCAGTCAGTGCTCTTAACTACTGAGCCATCTCTCCAGCCCCCAAATCTGAGGTATTTCTAGCATCGTTCACCCACACTCTATGAAGCTAGGTCATTGCAGCCTTGGTTCTGAACACACAACATGAGCACCTTACATGGTGTCATTTCACCATACAGTATCAACAAACGCAGCCTGAAACACCCTGGTGCACACTTAAGACTTGCATCTCAGGAATTGCAGGGATGCTTACTGTACACACAAAGTTTTCTGCTCTTTCAGAAACACAATGGTTTGATTATAGGAAACAAAGGCTGAATGTTCTCCTATTATTCCTCAGCATGCACCAAATTAGTCCTCTCTGGGGCCTGGAGAGATGGCTCGGTACTTAAGAGCACACGATGCTCTTACACAGGACCCAAGTTCAACTCTCGGCATCCACACTAGAAGGCTCACAGTCAGCTGTCAGTCCAGCTCCACAGGACCTAATGCTCTCCTCTGGCTACACAGGTGCCCACACAATGTGGCCAATGCATACACATCCACATATTCATAAATAAAAATAAAACAAAATCTTGGGCCAGGCAGAGTGACACACACCTTTAATCCCAGCACTTGGGAGACAGAGGCAGGCAGATTTCTGAAATCGAGGCCAGCCCAGTCTACAAAGTGAGTTCCAGGACAGCCAGAGCTACACAGAGAAACCCTGTCTCAAAAAATAAAAAAAAAAATAAAAAAAAAAGAGAAAAATCAATTAAAAAAGTAAAAAAAGAAAAGTATTAAGGGGGGATTTCTGAGAGCAGCCTGGGGAGGGAAGGCGTTTGGGGAAAGGCAGAGGAGTTTCTAGGACCCTGTAACAACAGTGACAAATCAGGAGCTGAGGTTCTAGGCTCCAGCATCTGTCACAGTGCGTGCTCTGTGCCCAGCGGACTTCATGCCCCCAGCCACACACACAGGTAGGAGGGCATCACATGACCACTTTACAGATGAAGTGGAAGGAAAATGTCTAGATTATTCATTCACAAACAGAGGCTGAGTCAGAACTCAACCCAGGATGGGCTAAATCCAGGGTCTATAGTCTGCCCACATTAAGCAGATCCACAGAGTCAAGAACGCAGCTTTGATTTGTGGCCTCAAATCATCTCCACTTCAACCCCAACTCCAACATCTGCATAGATTCTCTCACTGTCTCCTAGAAAGTAGGCGAGGAAGCAGGAAGGAAAGAGGGAACCTCTCTAAAGAAACCAAAGTGGGTAGCAGTCCTCGATCCTCAATTCCTAACGCCCTCGAGCCTGTTCTGCAGAAAAGAGAATAGAAGTGGTCTGGATGACCCTGGAGAAGATTCCAGAACAGGGAGGTGGAAGTCAGGGAGACACAGATTTTACTCCAAACAGGATGTTCCCAAGTGAGGAAGAATTTCTTCCCAAGGGCAAGAGCTCTCTACAACTGTACATAGGGACTTCAGTGCTACAGAGACTGAGGCCCTGGATTCTAGATCAGGGCAGACAGGCAAAGGCTGGCAAAATGGCCTAGCAGGTAAAAAGGCTTGTGTACAGGTCTGATGAACTGAGTTAGATCCCTGGATTCTGCAAGGTGGCAAGGGAAAACTGAGTCCCTGGAGCTGACCTCTGACCTCTACACTTGCGCTTTGATGTGTACACTCTAAAAGATGCACACACATACTCGAAGATACACTGAAACAAACAGACAGATAAATAAATACATGAAATTTAAGGACTGGTGGCCACCTAGATTTCTCTTAACACTAAGAGCCAGTGCCTCTACACAAAAACCTACACAGGAACTGGAGGAAGATGCATGAAACCCCCAGCACAAAAGAGATGTTTGAACTTGGAAGCCCAGTGGAGTCCTACAGGCAGCCCTGCCCGTCCAGCCCAAGAAAAGGGCTGAATTCCAACTACTGGCATTGTCCTTTGTGCTCCTCCCCCACCACACACACACTCACACGCACACTCACACGCACACGCACACGCACACGCACACGCATACACACTTCACCACTCTGGCTCCTGGTCTGTGCTTTCTGCCTGTGTAAAAGACCACAGATGGCAGCACCAAGCCAGGCCCAGATGCCCTGCCTAGAAAGGTCTTCTGCCTGCACCTCTTCTTGGGTCAGGATGCATCAATAGTACCCATTCTTCATCCCTGTGGCTCGCAGTGCCAGCTGTGGTTACCATGGCAACCGAGCAAAGGGACAGAAAGCCCTGGGAGCTGTAGATTAAATTTCACTTCTTTGGACCATTATAATACCAGGCCCAGACACCATTTTTGAATCTCCAGTGACCATTATGGCTATCACCAATCAGAAACAGCAGTTTTCCCTACTGGCTCTGGGTTTGTCATTCTACTGAGAGAGCTCTCAGGTACCCTCCACCTGTAAACTCCTGCTGTAGCCTACAGCTGAAGCAGGAGGTGGGCAGGCCACTTACTGCTTTGCCCTGGACCATGAGGGTGCCTCTGGAGAAACCAAGCCACAGAATATTAGACTGAACCCATTACCTATAACACTCAGACTGAAAAATGAAAGTCCAGAGGCATTCCCTGAGCCTCCCCTAATAGACTAAGGGAAGATCTGAACCAGAACCCAGACAGGGTGATGATGGCTCAGTGTGTAAACGGGTTTGCTACCAAGACAAGGAGCTGAGTTCAAAGCCAGACACCTGCATGGTGGAAGGAGAGAACAGATTCTGTCAAGTTGTTGTCTGACCTCCGTGTGTATCCTATGGCATGTGTAAGTGTGCGCCCACGAAATAAATAAGTGTAAAATTAAAAAGAAGAAAATAAAACAAACCAGCCATGAGTGGTGCACACCTGTAATCCCAGCAGGTGGCAGGGGCAAGTGGATCTCTCTGAATTTGAGAACATCCTGCTCTACACGGCCAGCCAGGGCTACAAGAGATGCTCTGTCTCAAAACAACAAAACAAAGCAAAAGCCAAATGGAACTTTAAGATTCATTTTTAATTTTTTAAATAGTCACTCACTTATTTTTATTTATTTATTTATTTATTTATTCCCCAAGAGAAGGTTTCTCTGCATAGCCCTGAACTCACTCCATTGACCAGGCTGTCCTTGAAGGCACAGATCCACCTGCCCCTGCCTCTGGAGCCCAGGGATACAGGCGTGGTCCACCATGCCCGCCCGGCTTACTATTCCTAAGAAAGTATAACACACCAGTGTAGGCAGCCCAGCATTCTGATTCAAATGAGGCTGTGCAGATAGGCTCGGTATTTGCTGATTTTCATCTGGAAGACAAGTCCTGGAGACTCACAAAGTCTCGTAAGGCCACATAGCTCAGATCCTAGCTCCTTGGTTCATTCCTTGTAACCTAAACCTAAGTCTCATAAGGCCACATAGCTTAGATCCTAGCTCCCTGGTTCATTCCTTGTAACCTAAACCTGGAGGTCCACGACCTGTGATCTACACCTCTGGAGTTACCCTTATCAACTTAAAATCTTCTCACTTTCTACCAGGAAAGACCTAGAAAGAAGAAATAAAGGGTCTCATGAATGCATCTGGTCACCCTCTAAGACTGTGCGGCTCTGATGTTCAACAATCCCTTCTCCCCTTCAAAGCTTTCCTGGGCTCCTCCCTGCCAGCCTTTCCTAGACTGCTAACCAGACAACAGCAACAACTGCTGTGAGGAGTCGTGGAGGCTTTGCCACTCCTCAGAATGCGTTCTGTGAGCTGGTGAATCCTGGCTCCTTTGATCTCTGACTGGTGTTCACGGGAAAGATTAAATTACATGTTCTAGATATGAAACGTGGTCATTAAAGCAGGTTATTTGAATGCCCTAACCAATTACACGGAACACATTTAGCAAATAATATAGAAACTACAAAGTTTCAATGAAGAGAGAGAGAGAGAAAGAGGGAGAGGATTAGAGAAGGGTGTTTTGTTTTGTTTTTTGAGACAGTTTCTCGGTTTCTCAAACTGTCCTGAACTTTCTCTGTAGACCAGGTTGGTCTCAAACTCAGAGATCTGCTTGCCTCTGCCTCCTGGGTACTGGGAGCATCACCACCATACAGACTTGAGAAGGTGGGAAATTTTAAATTTTTTCTTTCTTTGCAGTGCTGGAGAGCAAACCACGAGCATGCCATGGAAGTGCTTTACCCTGGAACTACATCCTGATCCTTGCAGGGGAAATCTTAACAGTCTTTAAGACATGTATCAACAAATGACATTACAGAAGTTTTATTTGAGCCCTGATATTTTACATTTTTTATTTATTTTTATATTGTGTATATGAGTGTTTTGCCTATGTTCCATGTATGACTTGGACGCGGTGCCCAAGGGGACCAG